TGCTGGATAAAACCTGGAACTAAACGCTATTTCTGACATTTTGAATCCTGGATGGAAGAGAAAAGTCTTGTTTTTTTTAACTTTTTTTTGGAGATTCCGATGATAATTTTGGTACATACATGCATAAACACTGTATTTACTTTATGAACATTTTAAACCAAAGCAGTGATTTACAGTGTCTTAATTATACTCACTGGGACACAGTTGTCTGGGTCAAACTCTGGACATGTGGTTTGGTTTCTGAAAACAACGAATTCATTCTTCACCTTCTCACAGTTATATGTGGTGCAGTTGTCGTTCGGAGGTGAATACGACTGTGAAGGCTGTGAAATGTGTGGAAGATTCAGTTTAGTGAAGTTATAATCAGATTTATAAAGTAACTAAAAGTTCCAGATTATAATTCTCTTTTACTTGAACTTTTCCTCACCTTAGCAATAACTGGGGAGTTCAAGCCGGGGACGTCAAAAATACAGCTGGTCTGTTTACATGATCCACAGCACTGCCCAGCCTCATTTACGTACGTGTAGCCCTATCAAAAACACATCGTTTATTAAAGAGAATATTTGCAGTGCCTCTTTACAGCTTTTTTGGTATTAGCTTAAACGAATTACCTCGCTACAAGACATGGAACAACGTATTTGATAGCACACTGCAGTGTTCAGCTTAGTTTGGGGATCCTGTTTATCGGTACAGTGGCAGTATTCACATAGGCTCTTGGAAAAGTTTGTACCCGGCTGTAAAAAAAGTAAAGTTGGAGACAGAGGTGTTTTAAAGTATTTAGAATACAATATATGTTATAAAAATATAAAAAAAGACCAGTTCCAGTACCTTATACTCGGTATCGTTATAGACACATACGCCTTTAGGCTCTAGATGAGACAACAAATAGTGTTAATGTAGAACTGTGCAATAAAATTATATCAATATATATCATCATAAAAACCTGATTATTCTATCAATAAAATAAACTTCTGATATAAGTATATTGTTTAATTTTAGTTGACACAGAACCAGATAGCATTCTGGAGAATGAAGGCAGTGATGACCAAGCAGGGTTGGTAGTAGGACTGATGTCATGTTTTAACAGGTTTACAACTTAAAATCTGCCTTTTTTTCCCTTCTCCTGTTTCCTCCATGGATATTAATATTAACTGACAGGAAAAGATGTCTGACACACATAGTAATTAGGGGAGATATTCAAACAAAGCCTGAATATTTGGTTTCAATAAGGCTGCTATGAATTAGTTCAATCAATTTTAACCAGGTCCACTCAGAGTTGAACGCGTGCGTAACAAGTATGAAACGCCATTATTAGTGGAGCCCTGATTCGATAAGTCACCATGACAACAGGCAACAGGAAGTGCCTATTTGAGGGCAACAGTGGCGTTGGATGTTGGAGTTTGCCCTGAAATCGAAGGGTTTCAGTGTCGTTGTGGCCTTGGGCAAGACACTTCACCTGCATTGTCTACTGATGGTGGTCAGAGGGTGGCGCAAGTGTACGGCAGCCCCGCTTCTGTCAGTGAGCCCCAGGGCAGCTGTGGCTACAATGTAGCTTGCCACCATCAGTGTGTGCGTGAATGGGTGAATTAATGTAGTGTAAAGAGCTTTGGTCAAGTCTCCTAACTGGAATAAAGGCGCTATATAAGTACAGGACATTTACCCATTTCACCCCACTGGAACTAGACATTTTAATGAACAAATGTTTTTCCATATGTAAATAAAAAATAAGATTCTTCCTGATCAAAATCACATTCCTAGTTGGAACTGTAATAATTACTAAATTCTAAATTACATTTTTGCAAGAGAAAC